TGTGATGTGAAATGCAGAAATATACTTTATAATTCTATGCAAAATTATAGTCAAAACTAGTGTAGAAAATAATAGACATTAAAAGCATTAAAATGTTCTCAGTATGCGGAAATCAGTTTCACTTTAACTGCAAACTTAATTTCTTAGAACACCATTTGGGCTAGTTTTCTGTATACGTGTAAATACTACAAAAACTTATTTATACTGTTCTTATCTCATTTTGTTACATTCATAGATTTATATGTTTTGACATCTGGCTAAAAGCAAATTGTTGCAAAACTAACCACTATGTACTTTTTTATAAATGTTGTATGAAAAAAAGGCATTTTTTTTATATTGTTTAGCTCTGGCAAAATAAAAAACAATTTAGTTGAAAAGCTGGTACTAATAAAGGAATGATTGTTAAATGACTTGTAATTCACTTGAGTTTATTCACAGTATTTTCAATGCCATTACAATGAACACATTTAGAGGTGTTTTTCATTTTTTAGAATTCTTTCTTTGAAAATATGCGCCTTATACTAAACTTCTGGCGCCAGAGATAAAAACGAAGTGTATCAAGAAGCTATTTTATCACTTCCATAGCAGGTACAACTCAACCAAAGGAAAGTGTTCCGCTTTGCAAACTGCTCGGCATTGTTTGAAGTACAGAGGACGAAACGGAAACCCGCCCTTGAACTAGGGAAAGACAGCAAATGTACTGCACTGCGCCAGAAAGAGGACTGGGAAGGCCAGTACAAAGGCACTGCAATTTGAAACATGGTTGTAAATAGGAAAAGCCGTGAGGTGGCATATCGGAAGGCGTGGGAAACCCATTCTGTTGAATAAAAAGCATCTTTCAGACAGGACACAGGAAGTCCAGAGGCTCTGAAGCCTGCCTGTTTGAGGAAAACAAGGACTATATGGCTGAAAATGGAGGGGAAAGAAGAGTAGAGTGGGTAGGGGAGGCAACGTGGCAGCCTTGTTAAGCCTTCATAAGGACTTCTACCCAGCAAAGTGGGGAGCTTTGGGAGGTGTCAGGTAAGAGTAACATCCGATTTTTAGGTCTCCCCTGCCTTGTGTGTTGAGAGTAAAGGTGGGAGCAGGGAGACCAATGGGGTGGCTCTGCAGTATTCACATGGAATACAGCATCTTGGTCTAGGATGGGTGGGGAACGTCCAGCCCTCAGGCCACACATACAGCCCCGAGAAACCATTTTGTCTGGCCCTGCCAAGGCAACTGCAGACGGGACTCAAAACTCAATCAGTTTTCATAATTTTGTATGGCCTGAAAATGATGTAAATGTCCAAATGGCCCTTGGCAGAAAAAAGTTTCCCCACCCCTGGTGTAGGGTGCTAGAAGGGTGTTGGGTTTGTTCCAAAGGTGAAACTAAATGGATTTTCTGACAGAATGGATGTGGGTTGGAGGAGTCAAGGACTTGAACATTTTTAAGAACTGAGTTGCCCAGACATACAGAAGACTAGTTTACTTAAAATCAGTTTCCTCTCATATTGAGATTAAATGGAAAAATCAAGGCCCTTCATAAACTCTGAAAACCTGCTGCCCAGTAAACCATTCACAGCACTGATTCACTATTTCCTCACATAATTATCTCGTTTGGTTCTGTTTTAAAGTGGGGAAATGTAGATTCACCTGAGGGTTAAGTGTATTTAAAATAAGCACTACGAGCAAATTATTCACCAAGTCTTAATAACCCATTAGGAGTATACAGTGCATAAGTCCACAGGCCCTAGAGCCAGACTGCCTGGGCTTGCTGCTGCCGTTCTAGAATGGCCTCCAGTAACTCAAAGCGATCAGGCTTGTTTCCTCATGTCAGATGAAGATAATACCAAGTTACTCCACAAAAGGTACTCTACCTACACACACTATCAACGGACATTTTTTTCATTTTGAGCCTTATATTAGGGTGCCTCTTGGTTGCAAGTGAAACTAAAGTCAAATTAGCTTAAAAGAAGTTGGTTGCAAGTGAAACTAAAGTCAAATTAGCTTAAAAGAAGTTGACTGATCACTAGGAAGCTCAGGTTGAAAATGGCTTAATGGTAATAGATTTAGGCATTCAAATGTGAAGATTCTGCTTGACCTTCCTTGTGTGGTCAAGAATTTCCTCTTGTAGTGGTGATGAGATCCCTGGAGACAGGACTTGTCCAACCGTGGAAGAAAAAAAATGACTTTAAACTCCTTACACATACGGCATATATATTAGGAACTAAACTTTTTAAGTACAGGCACACCTCAGTTTATTGTGCTTCCCTTTATTTCACTTCAGGTATTTTACAAATTGAAGGCAAGACCCTCCAGCACTAAAGATTACAGCTCATTACTGCGGTGCTGTGGAATTGACCCACAATCTGAAGTCCGCCTGTGTCAAACAAATCCTAACTCACCTATGACTAAAAAAAAAAAAAAAGCCAAGTGTTCTCTTGATCTGGATTTGAATTATACAGAGCTTTGTGTCCTGATTAAATTTGGCGGTTAAGCCTTTGTAAGTTGACTTTAGAGGCAGAAAGATCAACTTGTTGTCCCACTCCCCCATGCATTCACTGGTTGATTCTCATATGTGCCCTGGGTGGGGAATGAAGAAACCTTGGTGTATGGGGACTGCTCTAACTGAACTATCCAGCCAGGGCTGAACTCGGTTTCTAACTTTAAAATATGTACCTATGCCTTTTACATCAAGGTGTATCAAGCATTTTATTAGAAACTTTAATTTCTGGTATATAAAAAAACCCCTCAGGCCCATGCTTTTAAGGGATGGGATGGCATGGCTGTTCAAATGTATCTTAACAGTACTTTTCATACCCATACTTTTAAGCCTACAACATATACAACTCATTACTCTGTTAATACATCAGGCCAGTTTCAGCTTTCAGCTGCCTTTTAATACTTTTTGAGAACTGGAAAAATTTAAAGACCATAAAAACTTTAATCACTTGTGGAGAGACACTGGCATAATTAACTCACCCATTAAAACTAGATTTGCTTGAGGACAGTCTTAAGACAGTACCCAAAATTACTATTTTGAGCAGGAATTAGGTTTAGCTCTTCAAAGTCGTTTTACATTTAACCATCACACTCAATGAAGGTGGGTATTATCTCCACTTTACACCCCCCCCCCAAAGGAGTTAGGTAAAAAGTCTTTAATCTGGACAGAAAGGGCAGAGAATTTTGATTGGAAGTTACTTTATTTTCAGTAACAGTAAAATTTAACACTCCATTATAGGCAGCAAACCACCAATAGTATACACAGTACTTGCAATGTCACTAAAAAAATCACAACTTTAACATCAGATTACTGTTACCAAGTATCTTAAAATACCATCTATGTTTATCACTTCAAATTAGATGTCAGGCCCACCACTAGCCTCCTCTGATGTTTAAGGCACATTTATGAAATCAGATTTAGTATTTTGATATTTTCAATGTACTGTTTAATACTACATATTTAATGCATATGAAAACATTCTAAGGGGGTCAGGATAGCATGGCATAAAAACAAGTTTAAGCCCCAAATAACTTGCCCAAGCTCACAAAACTAAATTTAAAAATTTTTTACTGACAGGCAAAACTTGCTAATTGCATTTCTCCCAGTACCTATTAAAGTTGTAATAGTATACATCAAATCAAAATAGAAAATTCATCAGTTCCTTTGACATCAGTATCTTAAAGGCTGTTTGCTCGACATTTGATAGAATGCATGGACCAATACAATGTATTTTTTAGAATTACCTTGCAACCCTCAGAATTACCCTTTGTAGAATTCTTTCCTGATTATAAACCCTTTAACTTCAACGGCTATAGTGAAATTTACCAATTAACTACCTTTTCAAAGTATTTTAAAGCTGTCAGCACCCTTGTATATATTACGTATCCATTATTTACCAATAAAGCTTAGAAGGGTAAATTCCTGTTTCCTAGCTGGTTTTCAGAACTGTGCCCAGTTCTACCACATGAAGACAGTTCTCAATACACCTGTCATTAACTGTCTTTGAAAAGGTGATGGACAAAAACAACGTATCTTACCTCAGTCTTACCTAATCCTTGGTACTTCCTTTTCGATTCTAAGTCAGTCTAATATATTAACAGGACCCCATTTCTGCAAAACTAACACTAATCTTCAAATATTTAATTGGTCTGAGGTGAGTACATGTAGGATTCTAAGTTTTTCTTCTTGCCTAAGTATTTCAGTCTCAGTTAATGTATTTTCTTTTTGAGAAAGCGTATATACTTATTTTGGTGGAAATGAAATCCTGAGTTGTTCTGGGACTCAAGTATTCACTGGAATTATAGGATACTTATAGCTGCAGGATATAAAACCACTGCATATACTATGAAACCAGTGTTGAATACAAACAAAATGTCATTCCTGTTAACAGCTAAAAGTCCCCACATGGCTTCAATTCACAAGTTATTTCACTTACCATGCTCTTAACAGCTGTTAATGCTAAGAATCCACATAGCCGTTTTATTTTTATGTCACACTTATCAAAGCCCTAACCCACAAATTCTTCAGTTGACTACCATCTTTATTTGGTTTAAACTGTAATACTGTGATTTTAGACTTGATTTCATGAAAGGTTTTGCCCAATCCACCCCTCACAGCATAAACTGTTCAACTAATCAACTGAACATTTTAAGAAACCCAACCCTTCCAATGTCTGAAAGGAATCCCTTCATCCTTCCCCCAAATTCTCACTTGCTCAATTATCCTTAACTACATTTCCCAAAATAAAAGTCACTGATTCCTCACCTATTACCCAAGTATCTCATACATTGTCTTTCAAGGTTTAAATCTGTAAGTGGCAGTAAGCTTTAAGATATTTTTCCATGCCTACTTCCCAGGCCAATTTTTCCACGGAAAAGAACCCACTTTTAAAATTAACTGACAGGTATAGGCTCATTCCTTCTAAGTTTCCTGTTACTACTTACTAGTAAAGTATGTCATACTCACATATGGCATTTAAGTCACATGAACACTGTGAAGTGAGAAAACCACACACACGTTTCTAAAAATATTTTAATGAAAAAGTTATCTTTCTGTAAACATTTCATTATCCTACAAATGAAACATTTGAATCCATTACACACCACCTCTTAAGTCTTAAAAATCAGAAAACATTGAAATTTAAAATTTTGAATACTCACAGAGGCTAACAATCCTTACATTACCCCTGCACATTAGCATGCTTATGCCCTACTTTGAGACATCAATGACTGGAACTCCAAGAGATACTGTTATTAACTAGAAATGTTTCAAATTGTGACTTCTACATTGGAACTCTTCAAACCAAACTTATCTCAATTGTTTAGTTCCTTAGCAAGTGGTCTTTAATTACCAAATTTTCTTCATTAGGACATGAGTGTAAATGGAAGGTTGTTTTTCCTTTTGGTTTAAAATATAATGTGGAAAGCAGTAACCTGTGAACTGCTTTGACAAAGCCTGCCTTGACCATTTCCCTCATGAACTTTGTTTATTGGTGTTATGACTTAACAGCATCACATTTTTCAGTAATGACAGTGTAACTACATTTACGTTAAACCACTTTATTTCATAAAGAAACGAGATGGACTGAAAAGAACAATGCCTTTAAAGAAAGAAAATGTCTTCTATCTTAGGAAATCTGCTTCACTAAAACCATGATGTAAAGAAAATCCATCAATAAAAGAATTACCTTGTCAACACACTTCATTCTAGTGAGATGTAGAAATTTAGTCCTGGTTTAGAGGAGAACTAACCAGTCATTTTGTGAGAATAAACTCTGGCAAACTTACTATTTATGTAAGAATTTGATTTACTTACAATTTAGAAACGAGTTTCATTTTAAGCATCTATTCCCCAAGTGTTTTGTGGTTTGTTTTTTTAAAGTGAATTAACATCAAATCTCAACTTTTAACAAGCCCTTTTGGGCCAGCAATAATACACCTTATGAAATCAGCAACTGACTTGCACAGTAATAGTTTAATTATTCTTTGATAAGTTGTCTTTTAAAAAGGAATATTAGCAATAATTAGGCCCCCACTGCTTCAGGTAACAGGTTAAACAACACATACCAAAAAAAAAAACAAAAGCAAAAAACCCCCCCAAAAACAAAAAACCAAATACTTATCCTATCAATCCAAAGAATTCCCTGATTTTGTATGCAAGAAAATTTATGAGGCCACTTGAATGAAGACTATTTTTGTATTTGTATCATCTGGCAATTTAGAGTTCATCCCAAGGTTCTTCCTAGAGTAAGGATTGGCAGCTTAACGTTTGTTAGAACTAAGTCATGCTTGTTACAAAACTCTTCGCAAAATTTGAGATCACTCCCTTTCTCATAAAAAAACTGACTTTATCCTAAAGACACCAGCAATTGTGTACATGGGGCCACATGTCACTCAACATGAACACTCATGGTTATTGCAGAAAGTTTTAAAACCTGTTTAAAACATTTGGATGTGGTTCCAAAGTTTCAGCTGAACAATTTTGCTAATGTACCTAATGGTTTTAAATGTGTAATATAAATTTGTAGGGAAACAAATGGTGTCATCAGGTTTTACTGTGAGCTACAAACCTTACCCAGCCAGAAACCTTCGTATTTAAGATGGTAGGAAAGACATTCCTCATTTAGGCAAGAAGGGTTCTCATTCAACCTGCAAATCAAAAAGATTACTCTTACCTTGCTTTACAAAAAAATACTCTTTAATTAGTGAAAAAATTCAAATTCAAGCCTTACCTAATGCTTATTGCCCTTCCTTGCAGGTCTAAATGCTAGACCTAGTGACTGTGGCAACTATCTCTCATTGATGTTCCAAAAGGCGAAGAGCTCCTTCCTGCTAGACTTTCTTCGATATTTCAGTTGTAATAAGCAGATTTAACTAGCCTTTGAAAAGTTGCTCACTATCACCATAGTATCTTATGCTTTCACTTCTCTGTAGTTGAAGCTCTTGCTGCTGCCTTGTCATTCTTTATTTATGCTGACTTGTCCATACTCAAAAGGCTTCTGAAGTCCTGTCTTAGTGAGTCTCCTTTGATCCACACTGTGCTTAAAAAGCACATCTTAGGTCCTTTAAAGCTGGTTAAATCGCTCTCCTCATGGCTTACTTTTCCACACTGTTCACAAGAACTAAGCTAAACACAACTTATAAACAGGTCACATACACAGATTTCACCTGCTTATAGGTTGCAAACATCAACTTACTGAAAATATTTTCACTATTAAACTAGTTCCAGAACAGAAAGTTTGTTAACAGTACAATTAACTTCATAATATGCCGTTAAAGGATACTGTCAAGGTTGTCTCAAACAATTTCACAAACATAGAAACAGGAAATGTTAATCTCCCCCATTCCTTCAACCTTTATTATATGAATAAAAGAACTTTAAACATTTTAGCTCAATTTTAATAAAATGTTTCCCAAGCATTATTTTGACCAGGTACCCAGATTTAAGTCATAAACATTGACAGTGTCCATTTATATAACCACACTTGAAGTTAAAAACTTAATCATTTTCTAATATTTGCCTATTTTCTACGCTGCTTATTCACATATGTCCATTAACAAATGGTATGTTGTCTGTTACATTTATTGGTTTGTGAGTGTTTTCTGGAAAACTGCGGTTATCTGTGAAGATCGATTTCCATGCTGGCATTGCATGCATCCAAATATTAATGCACAGAGGCACAGAATTAGAGCAACAAGAGAGCATACGCAAACACTAGCACGCCCCACTCCCCTTTTTATTGCTTGTTTTGCTTAGTACTTCTTAAAACAAAAATAAAAACCTTGAATTCAATGTTCAACTGCCAAAGAAACAGTAACAGCAGGGCACATATTTAGGGCTTGAATGAAATTGTAAGCACTAGGGCTGGCGCAAAACAGTAGACATCAGTTTATATATATGACCTTATCATCTAAAAATCTTCTCACCCAGGGTCTTCCAAACAAATTAGCTCATACCAACATGATTTAGGTTCAAGCACACACATAAGAGTAACAGTGTTCTTTGGGACTTTGAATAAGAACTCAGACAATTCAAATTTGAATTCAGGTCTTTGGGAAGTGGGAAGCTTATACTAAGCAACTGTGGTACACTTCTACTGCATTAAGTCATTTGGGTCAATTATATCTAGACTGTCCTTGGTTTCATCCCATAAAATGTAGAGGGTACAAACAGGAAAGCATGCCAGCCAGTTAAGGGTTCAACAATGCATGATTTTTATTCTCTTGCTTTGAGAGCTTCTTATATCAAATAAAAAATGTTAAACCAAGGAAAATAACGGAAGATTTATGGGCCTCTTGTGCTTTAAAAAGGAAAAAAAAGGTAGCCACCAATTTGCTCAGATAAGCAGGCTTAGTGGTCCTGTATTCTGAAGTTATTAAGAATGTTTTTTAATGGAGGAGGAAAGGAAAAACATCCACTACCCCTTTCCAGGATTTAATCAGAGGGCAGCAGACATTCTTTACACCCAAATAAAACTATGGCAGCAGTTCACATGTGACCAAGGTGAATGTAGAATGGAGATGTTCTAAACACAACTAGGACTCTCAGCAAAGCTAACACACTAAAATCATGATTACATTTTGAAAGAAAATGCACAAAAACCAAATAGGAATTTTGAGATTTTTCATTTGAAGGTAAATCTTAATGTCATTAAAGTCACAAATATGCTAATTTAAATACCCAATTCTATTTATCTAAAACACACATTGCAAACATACAAATATCTATTCTCTCCACATGTCAGAGCCCATTCATTTCATGGTTTGGAAATGGGGAGAATAGATTCCCCTTAAATTGCAAGTCAGCAGGTGTTTCTTTACAGTTAACTTTAGCAAAATTCATACAAAATAGTGATTAACAATGATCTTCTTTACTTGTTAACTCACAAGGAAACACCTTCAAAACTGCATTTTGTTAAAGTTTCTGTACTAAAATGTAGAAAAACTGAACTACACAAATATTGAAAAGTTAAAAATTCCTTAATTTTTTATTCCTGGTACCACTACCACAATTTACAGGGCAATATACCTGATGTAATGAAAAGAAAAAGAAAAAGACAAAGCTACAACAGATAAAAGACCTCAGGAATGTACATCTAATTGACACTACATTGCATTAATCAATAGCTGCACTTTTTGCAAACTGTGGCTATGACAGTCCTGAACAAGAAGGGTTTCCTGTTTAAGCTGCAGTAACTTTTCTGACTATGGATCATCGTTCCTTCTGTGGCAGATTTTTACAGTTCCTCTAATGCATTTGGGACGACTGTCTCAAAGTAACCTGCAGCTTTCCTGACAACTCCTCGCTCTCTCTCCTGCTAAGAACTGTAGCCTGTTGAATAATACAGGATAAAAAAATTATTACACTCAGTGAACAGTTCCACATATGCTTTATCATCATGATAAAAACTTAAAAGATACTTACCCTTTTCTGCTGAGTTTTTAGAACCTTCTGCTACCATATCCACCACTTCCACCACCAGATCCATAACCACCTGGAAATATACATGTAGGGAGTTTTAAAAGAAATATACATGAGTTTCTAAATTAAAAAGGTTATAAAAATTTTTAATGAATAACAGTATTTACCACCATAGGGGCTGCCCGAGCTTCTTCCACCAAAACTGCCCCCTTTCATGGGTCCGTAATTTGATTGTTGTTGTCCGCTGTAATTTCCAAAATCATTATAGTTCCCACCACCACCATAGTTACCTGAAATTACAAAGGTTTTATTTGTGGTTGACTTACACAATTATATATGTACATATTAACTATCGTGGCAGCATACTCTACAACTCCTACATGCAACCCCTTGAAGAGATTTTACAGAGCTACTAAACTCTCTCCACAACAAACTGAGGCCCACTAGCAGACCTCAGACATAGGTTAGAAAAGAAAACGAGTGGAAGATGGTCCCAAGAGCACGTATCTAGATAGCTGTCATATTTTGATATTTGATGTTTGTATTTGATGCTGTACTCTAGCACGTTCTTGCCTTCATACCACTAACACCATCGAAGTTGTCAGTTTGATTCACTCTAACTCTGATGCAGTACAACTTTTAAACCAATGTCAGAAGGTACTCTAACAAGAAAAACCTTCTGTTGTTGATACATTAATACAATCCAAAACTCAGTGCATTCATAACAAAGCTCTTTAGAGTGTCAAAGTAGTAACACAGTCTTGCTTATAGTATGCGATGTGTCTGTGACATTCAGATTCAAAATGCTTGTCATTTAGACTCCAGATGACACCCTAATCACTTTAACTTACAGTTCCCATTTGTCCAGTTTAAAAGTGCAGAGTTAAAAGTAAAATTCTGGCAATAAATACATTACTGCTAAATGCCCATTTCGAGTACAAAATAAAAGAGTTGAATACATTTTGCCAATTTACTAACAAGCACAGTAAGAAAATTCAGTTCAATTACCCATCAATTGAGTAATTTCTAATTTTAAAAAACATGAAATTTGACCAAATGCTATGTTTTAACACTTTAAAACATCTGTAACGGAACTATAAATAACGAATATTTAAAACAACTGAAAACTTACCAAAATTTCCCCCTTCATTGTAACCATCATATCCTCCACCGCCACCATATCCACCACCTTGGTTTCCATATCCTGGCCCTCCACCACCACCATAGCCTCCTCTACTACTGTAACCAGGACCACCGCCATAGTTGCCTAAAAGAAAAAATTGAGCCATACAAAAGCAAATGTACAATTGAACTCCAGTTTATATTACATTTAAGCCAGTGGAAAATAAACCAATGAATTGATTTAGCACTAAAGCCTGGTTAATAGAACCAAGAATGTGGGCCAGTAAGAATTTAAGATAAATGCTTAAATATATTTTAACATTATAAGTTTTTAATTCTTTAAATTTCACTAAGGAAAATACTGAAGTCTCCTGAGATGTTAACACAGCTCAACTAACTAGTACAATAAACCTAATTGGCTAAAAATAATTAGCTAATGTTAAATCTTTAGAGGGGAATAAGTTTACTCTTCTATTTTAGTTTAGAAGTATATTTTAACCATCAAAAGCCATTCAAGTTTTGACTGAAATTATAAAAAAATAAAAATATTTTCTATAAAGCACAGGAAACAAAGTCAAAATATCAAATAATTTTTTTAAAAACTTACCATCACCTCCAAATCCATTATATCCGCCATCACCTCCTCCATAACTACCTCTGCTGCCACCTCCACCACCATAGCCGCCTGAGGAAAAGCATGGTATGAATTAAAAGTGTAACATTCAACATACCAATTAATTTTAGAAAGACGTACTTAGAAATAAGATAACCATCCTACCTCTTCCACCAAAGTTTCCACCACGACCAAAGTTACCTCCGCCACCTCCAAAGTTTCCTCCACGACCCATGAAGTTACCAGATCCACCTCCACGGCCTTTAACATAGGCAAGGGAGATCTTTAAGAACCTTACAAACACCACTGATGTTTACTGTTTAAGTATATATGGTACTACTGACCTCTTTGCGATCCAGCAGACTGCATTTCTTGTTTAGAAAGGGCCTTTTTCACTTCACAATTATGCCCATTAATAGTGTGGTATTTCTGAACTAAATTTTTTTTAAATCAAACAAACAAGAGTTATTTGATGTTTGAAAAAGCACATATAAATGATATCTTTTAGCACTACACAACATTAAAATACCATCAAGGTAATGACTTCTGAGCAGGGATGAGGGAATGCTCTGGGATGTTACCGTTTATTTCTTGATCCAGATGCTGGTTACACAGGTGTAGTCACTTTATGAAAACTGAACCATATACTTTATGCACAATACAGTATTCTAAGTAATTTAGCAACTTTAGTGTGGAATGAAAAAGCCATTTCTTTCTTATTCAAGTTGCTACTTACCAACAATTTTATCAACCGTATCATGATCATCAAAAGTTACAAAAGCAAATCCTCTTTTTTTCCCACTCTGCCGGTCTTCCATGACTTCTATGGTTTCAATCTTGCCATACTTTTCAAAGTAGTCTCTCAAATTATATTCTTCTGTATCTTCTTTAATACCACCAACAAAAATTTTCTTCACTGTTAGATGGGCACCAGGCTTTACAGAATCCTACAAATAAAAAATATGTAAGGAAAAAAACCCCCAAATTCTTATGACTTGGTATTATACAACGTGGTATTAAAATACCTCTCTAGAAACAGCTCTCTTTGGTTCTACTACACGCCCATCAACCTTGTGCGGTCGAGCACACATTGCTGCATCCACCTCTTCAACACAAGAATAAGTCACAAAACCAAAGCCCCGGGAACGCTTTGTTTGGGGGTCTCTCATCACCTACAAAATAAAGAGTTTTAAACCACTGAAACACAGCTCCACAAGTCCTCTACCCCTNAACGCTTTGTTTGGGGGTCTCTCATCACCTACAAAATAAAGAGTTTTAAACCACTGAAACACAGCTCCACAAGTCCTCTACCAAGAATCTTCTTTTTGTTCCTTTAGTAACTTACCACACAATCTGTGAGTGTGCCCCATTTCTCAAAATGTTCTCTTAAACTGTCATCTGTAGTTTCAAAGCTCAGACCACCAATAAACAGTTTTCTCAACTGCTCTGGTTCCTTAGGATCATGGCCCTGAAAAAACAAACCAATACATTTTAATTATTTCTTTTAGTAGTGAACTGCTAAGATGTACAAGCCTTTACTCTGCTACAAATAAACTCAGCATCAAATTCTGTACCATTAACACTTTGTCCAGTTAAAAATTAAAGTAGAATCATACAAATCACATCACTTAATAAAGGAACCAGAATACCAAGAAAACCTAGAACCTGCCTTTCGAATGCCAGCATCACTTAAACTACATTTTAGTCAAAGGGAATCCCAGAAACAAAAGTCCCTGAATTTTAAGCTACAAAACGGCCTGGGGACAGATTATTTCAGGTGTTGCTACTAAGAAACCATTTTCTAAGAAACCAAAATGTTGTAGATGCAGTGTTTCATCCTGTGCCATTTCTTTTCATGTCAAGCATTTCATTTTAAACCAAAGCTGTGAGATAATAAAGTCTTAAGTACCAAACTTAAATTCACCAATACGTAAGGAATGTAAAAATCTTTACATTCCCTCCTTAATTCCAAATACATAAAAGAAACTGTAAAACTATCATTATCTGGAACATTTAAGATCTTGCTTCCTGATGTGAGTTTGGCTCAAATAAATTATTTAAAAAATCTCTTAAAAACATTCACCGGTTACAAGCAAGTCAAGATTAATAATATAGGTATTCCTTCATAAAAGGCTAATTCACCCCCCCACAAAACTAAAAAAATTCCATCATGTATCTTGACAACTTTCTGTAACCAGTACGTTATAGGTTACATGCTGCAAAAATGACCTATGGCAAAATTTTCAAATACATCTTGTAGGGTCACAAAAAGGGCAAGCTGAACTTAAAGTATAAAATTTACTGCTTGAAAATGAAATTTTTCTTAAAAATGTGGACTGAACTGTTTTACAATTTAACCAGCTCGTTAACAAATTACATGAATTGACATTTAATCCATGCATTACGATATCGTCCATCCAAACTGGTTACAATAAAGGGGCTCACATTTACATTCTAATGTCTTCCAGTGTCTTCTAAAGGTACAGACGTTAAGGCATTTTATACGAAGAAACTGTCACATGCTAGAAAAAAATGTTAAATGATTAATAGCCTAAAGCATTAATTCAAAATTATGAAAAGCAATTTTCAAGTCCTCGTTAAATGCACTTAATCATCAACATCAAATTGACTAAACACAAGAACAAAAAACAAAACCAACTATACCCCACAGAAATTTATCTCAAGCACGTGAAAAATTCAACTGTGGTTGCAGTCCTCTAAAACGAAAATCCAAAAACTATAGCCATAACCATGAAAAAAAAGGGAGATAAGAAAATTTTAAAGTTCCTATTTTATAATGGCGCGAAGATACGTATAATACCAAGTACTTTAGCAAGACTAAATCAGTAAGTATTATAAAGCAGCAAACTTTAAAATTTTATTTTCAACTAGATGCTGCGAAGAAAACAAGAAATTAAAATCTCGTCGCCTTCAAGAGGTCTGTACGGCCTAGAAATGCGCCAGCAGAAGTTCAGAAAAAGCACTGCGCCCCAAGCTTCGAGGCCATTTGCAGCATGTTCTGCCGGGCCGCCTCCTGTCTCTTCCTTCCAATCCCGCGCTCTCTTTCCCGGTGGTGGAATTAGGCGGCGGCCATTGCGGGCCAATGCGCCATTTCGTAACGCGGCGGCGGATCAATGTCAATGTGGCCGCCGCCCGCCAGCTCGCTCTCCCGGATGTGCCTGCTCGTCCTCTCCCCTCCCCCACTACCTCCTCCCAACCGCTCCCGCCCAGGCCCGCCATGCCTCCCTCGGCCTCAATTCCCAGGCCAAGCGGCTGGCGGGCCGGGTCCCTTTCCGAGGTCTCCCCAGCCACGCCGCGCCTCCAAAGAGCCACCTGTGCAGCCGAAGAAAGCGAGAGGAGCGAGACGCCCCGAGGAGGCCTCCGAGGCCCGCTCCCTTCCCCCTCCCACCGCCCGTCTCAACGTAGAGCGCGGGACCGCCGACCGGTCCACCCGGCCTCCCCACTCCCACCGAGCCAGGCCCCCCACGCCGGCCACGACCCATCAACCCCCCGCTCTCCCCCTAATACCTCCTCCCCCCGGCGGCGGCGGCGACGGCCGGAGTCGGGCTGGGGGCGACCGGGCGGCGGTTTTACCTCCATTTTGAGACCGGACTCGCCTCTTCCAACTCGAGTTCAATATGGGACCGAGAGGAAGAGGCGGGGCCAGCCGTCACGTGACGCGCTTTCCGCGCGCCGCCGGCCTGGTGGAGGAGGGGGCGAGTTATGAAGGGGGCGTGGCCAACTGGGCGCGAAGACGGACTGGACCAGCGGGTTGGCGGGCAGAGGCCGGGGGCGTGACAGGCCGCGGGAGCGCGCGCGCCTCGCTAATTTCCAGTGCGGCACCGCCCTTGCCGCGGTTCGCGCCTGGGAGGCTGCGGGGACGTCTGCTTGTGCTCGGCCAATGGCGTGCGCCCACGTCGGGAGAACTCCTCGTGACCGCGCGTCACTGGAGAAGAAGGCCTTTCCCTTTCTTCTCGCGCTCCTTTCCCCTCCCCCATGTAGGCCTCTTGGTCTCAATTTCAGAGTTCATTCCACTGCGCGTGCCTGCGTAAGCCCCCACTGTTTTCTCCTGTGCTTTAAGGTCGCAAAAAAGACCTCTGGGCCCCTCGCCTTCTCCTCGCCTGTTTCCAAATGCAGCGACGCCCACCGTAAGGGCCGGTACTAAAAATCTCTTTCACACCGACATGTATGAATCTTGAGCCCCTTGGAAAGGCCTCAAAACGCGGCTAACACTGAAATTTTACCCTTAAGGAGCTGCGGCAGGACTGGTCGAGGTCAGTTCCTTAGGTACTCGGTCTCAAATCTGTCAGCACTCGCTTCTAACACTTCACTAGTTACTGTGCAAAGAACTGAAGCAACTTTCCTCGGGGATGGAATTTAGGGAACTGAATGAGTTACAAGACTTTAAGAGTAGGGTTTCCAGGTACGCTACATAATGGATCATGATATTTTACCTTAATGGTTCTAATTGTGTTGTGAAACATAATAAACGAGATCAGTTAAAGAGTTAAAACCAGACGTTAATCCTTTCTCGGCCTAAGTGAGTTTAAATCATTGGACCATACTGAGCTTCAGTTTTAGTATTTTTTAATGAAAATGGGGATGATTTGGTAGTCTACCAACACCCAAGATAGCCATCAATTAAACTACGGATCCATGTTTAAACTTAATCTGTGGATCCAGGTTTAAACAAAGATACTGATGAAAGTGACCACAATTAACATGTCTCCCTACCCTGCTAAGACATGGTCAGTATTTTAATGTAGCAATCCATACAAAGCTCCTTTAAAATTGATCAGTCCTTCCCTTGGACAGATTAAAAATTTAATCAATTATATTGTCAATTGTTTAAAAAACAGTCTGTGTTAACAAATGGGGAATGCTCTGCTTGGAGCTTGGAAAAGGCACAAAAAATAAGAATTTGTTAATGTTTATCCAGCATTGCCCAAGCAGAACAGGTGTTTTATTTGGCAGACATGAACAAAAGGTACTTTGTTCCAGTCTAGAAACCAGTCACCAGTCCTTAATGTAACTTGGATGAAATAACCCTCCAAACTAGCCTCCTCATGTTGCTCGGATTCCAGTATCACAAGCAAACTGTTATGTACTCTGCTTTTCAGGCACTCCTGATACCCAATAACAGTACTTGAGAGGTTGGGAAAATTTATACCCTTAGGGTCTTGTTAATATATCAAGGCTACTTGAGTTTACTGTGAATAGTCATGAATAACTTGATTTCTGATTCAATTCTGAGTCTGTAGAAAAACAAAGTTAAAGACCTTAGGAAGATGGTACTCACACCAAAGTATCTGTGAGAAATTGCATGGGTGATCATGAAAACTGATCACTTGGCTTCACTTTATGGCATGTTGTCTAGGTGTTTTCTAACCAATTTTTAAAAAATTTTTTCTAGCCCGACCAGGCGTGGCTAAGCGGTTGAGCATCGACCTAGGATGCAGGCGATTCGGGTCGATTCCTTGTCAGGGCACATGCCCAGGTTGCGGCTTGATCCCCAGTCAGGGCATGCAGGAGGCAACCGATCAATGACTCTCTCATCATTGAAGTTTCTCTCTCTCTCTCTCTCTCCCTCTCCTTTCCTCTCTCTCTGAAATCAATAAAGATATCTTTTTAAATTAAAAAAAAAATAATTTTTTTTCTAATCAATTTTTTAATCCTCACCTGAGGATATTTTTTCTATTGCTTTTCAGGGAGAATGGAAGGGAGAGAGAGAGAAGCATCAATTAGTTGCCTCCCTCATGAGCCCAGAACGGGGCTAGGGATCGAGCCTGCAACCTAGGTACGTGCCCTTGGCCAGAATCAAACAAGGGATCCTTCAGTCCTCAGGCTGACACTCTAGCCACTGAGCCAAACCAGTTAGGGCTCTAATCAATTATTTTTAATCAATAACTTCTGTTATTATTCTTTCTTCTTTGAATTACATTAAATTCTTATATTAATTTGAGAAATGATGGAGGATGGAATACTAAGTACCTCCATCCAGGAACATGGTATGTCAGTCCATTTATTCAGATCTTTTGTCCTTCATTAAAATGTGGATTCCTCCCTTTGGATTCATCCAGATTTGTTGTTCATCCAGACTGTGGTGTTTAGACATTGGCTATTTTTTATGCTTTTGTCTAAGTTTATCCCCAGCTCTGTGGCCACATGATATCTCATGCAAATATCCCTGCTTGAGTTCTTTACCCTATTGGACACAAACTTGATCCTTGGCTGCTGTCTATCCTTATAGCCCTGGCTCTCTTGGAAATGTGTGTGTGTGTATGTGTGTGTGTGTGTGTGTGAGGGAGAGAGAGAGAGAGAGAGAGAGAGAGAGAGAGAGAGAAAACATATATGGGGCGTGGAGCAGGGGACAACGGTCCTAAGGTGGAATGGAGTGGCAGACAGATTTTATAAATAACCTATATTAGGGCCTCTCAACTACTTTCATATTACAACACATATAGAAAATGGTAATTTTTGTACAGCACACGAAGTTTCCATGAACAAAGATTTTGAGATATCTAGATGATGGTTAAAAAAATTCATAATATGTTCTGTAATTATGCTAAAATAAAATACAATCTAGTTTAAAAATAAAATAAAATACAGTGTATTAGAGAAGATATTAAAATTGAATTTGAGTAAAACATTCAAATAAAATGTTTCCACATTTTTTAATGATCGTCTTGAACTTATTCCTATGAATATATTTTAATATTAGGTTTTATGGTTGAAATGGCTTTAGGCAGTTTTTGATCTTGACTTTTTAATGATAAACTCATATTCTGAATTGTAATTATCAGTAAGGGACTCTGATCACATAAATGGGTGATAAAATATTAAAACCATTTTATACCATCATTCAAAATTTACAATTGTAATTATATTTAAAGAATAACACCTCCGTTTTTTTTTATTGAGAAATGTAATGTTGCAATTTCATAGGATCATGCAAATGGATTTCAAACTAATAGTACATTTTTACATCAAGATTTCCACAATGAAACTCTAGCTTTGAGAACATACATGCCTTGTTAACAGCTAGTCTGAGGGCCATTAAAAGAGTGTGTCACCACGGAGGGATAGAAATAGCCACTAGACCTGGCCAGGTATCTCAGTTGGAGCATCATCCTGATGTTGCAGGTTGGATCCTGGTCGGGCCACATACAGGAGTCAGCCAATGAATGCATAAATAAGTGGAACAACAAATTAATGTTTCTCTCTCTCCCTAAAAAAATAGAAAGAAAAAAAAGAAAGAAAAAGAAATGGCCACTATATGTTAAGATAAATATTAAGGGCATTGCCTGGAGCTGAGCCCACCAGGAACCCGACTCAGTCCAGGCTTCTGTCTCAGCCCCTGACAAATTACCCCTGGAGCTGTGTACTGTTCCCCTTGGGCACCTGGAACACAAACTTGTGCATTTGCTCCAGAATGTCTGGTCCATGTTGGGCTTTGCAGATAGTTGCCCATGTGGCAGCCATCCTTGGCCATGCTCAAACAGCAGAATTTTAAGTGTTGGTTGTTGTTTACAGTGTTTGGCGTACGCCCCAGTCTACTCTGCACATGCTGCCCTGAGGAGCCCTAAACAAGTCTGGTCATGGCCAAAGGTACTTGCCCAAGGGGCTTTGGCTGCCCCTGATCCCTCTCAGCTGCCTAATTGCTGGAGGGGTAATTTCTCACCCATATTCAGGACACCAGCATGCTGTAGTCCACTAGTTAGGAAGCACTGTCTGGATTGTGTGATTCATTTTATGAATGAGGAAGCTGTAATATAGATCAAGGAATTGATTTTTTCCAAGATTAATGAAAAATTATGGCAGATTCAGAACTAAAAGAAAGACTAGAAATTGAATGAAAATATTTTGGACAGGAGGACAGTAATTTTTAGAAGGGAAAAATTATAATAAACTACATTAATCATCTGCCACTATATTCAGAATATGCCAATAGCTTTATTTTTCTAAAATCTTGGTTTTTAAATAAGGAGTGTATAAAGTAAAACACAAAACAAAACAAAACTCTGTCCCCTCAAATCCTATTACACAGATCTGATCACAGTCAACAACTTAGTATATATATTTTAATATCCTCTTCTTGGCCTAACCAATGTTTTAAGTATGTATGAATATGCATATATATCCATATTGGCTTCATTTATACAAAACTGTATCAAACTATCCAGGTTGATCTGAAATTTCCTTTTTACCTCCATTTTACAAACTAGTCACTTATTGAACTTTTACTATGCGCTTGGCAATGCTAAGTTCTGGAAATTATCATAGTCACTCACATTATTAAACATTTAATGTGTATCTTGTACTGTTCTAAGCACCTTATGTTCCTGATCTCATTTAGTTCCCCTAATTTAGGAGTAGATCCTTTTATTCTCATTTTTTAGATGTTAAAAAGAAAAGCCACAGGCCCAATATTGTGTGACTTGTGTTAAAAGCCTGTAATTGTAGCGTCAGCCTCTCCCAGGAGTGGAATTTTAAACCAATCAGTCTGGAGTTTCCTGACCCACACTAGGTGAGGTAATCTGTCTGATAAGACCCCCTACCTTTCCCTAAGGAAAGGTGTCCTTGACTGAAATAATCCACTCTTAACTTCTT